ATAATGTTAGTGCGTACATGTATATTACTCTCACACACATGAAAGAGACGAAGATAGTACGATTATGTCTGTCTTTGTCATGTACGATTGCAGCTCTGTCTATCGCGACATCACGCAACTAATCTACTGCTCTGTTTTACTCTTTCGTACAAATATTGCACATACACATAAACACAAATTTTCATCAACATCATTTTTTTTGTATTATTCTTTTAAGTTCAATTTTAACAATTACATATTGTTATTTCGTACAGTCTATTCTATGGGATTGGTTTATTTTATACATATGACTTGCAGAAAATTTATAACAATCAAATATTGTTACGAGTCGACAACTGTAGACGCCATATTGGGATAAAAATAGATAAGAAAAACTGTAATTTTTAAACTTTTTGGAGATTTCAGCATAAAATCGATTGTCCCATAGAACATTAATGTATGTACTTTAATCATGTAAAAGCATTTGTAATTCTGTATAGCCATTACGAAAACTAGTACAATTAAAAAAACAATTTGTTTGGTCGGTAAAACAGACATGTTTCTGGATCCCCTTAACTAAAATGATATAAATGCTTAGTTTTCCTTCACCTCTATTTTCTGTTGGCCACCCTGCTAATTTTAACTGTCGGTTCATTTAACCGGACTTGGTGAAATTGGCCCTAAATTAATTAGAATTATCTTCCGAAAAAATTCAATGTACATATATATATATTACGTTAAAATAAAATTCACGAAATATGTTCTAGTATAAACTAAATTTATATATATAATAAATAGTAAAATAAATTATATGTTTACAGGAAAAATCTGTATATGTATGTAAATAAATTTACATAATACATACAATTATTATTAAATATTAAAATAATACAGTTACTATAGCCCTGTATTTCACATAAAATTGGAATATTATGTATTCTATATGTATATAAGATTTTAATATTTAATTCATGTTGTGTTAACTTATGACACTTACGTCTTTTTTAATTAATCCATAATTATGTCAATCACTATATAATATGATTTCTTCTAATTCAATTTAATATTTTATTAGTATCCTCTATATTATTTTTTCTTTTTCGATTTAATCCATTCAGATTGCAATTCACGTAACATTTGTGGTGTCAAGAGTCCTTCTGCTATTAATCTTTCAGTCAATTTTCCCTTACCCATACTACGTTTGCCAGTTGTTCCATGATCTAAAAAATTTATAATTAAGTATTCAAGCATCTCATGTTACCAATCTATAAATAAAGATATATTCTATATATAGAAAGATATTACCTCGATAAAAGTTTTGCTTTTGCGTCTGCATTTCAAAACTATCAGACTCTCCACCTTAATAACAAAACAAAATTTATATATTAACCTTATAACATAAGTAGATATAAAACCGATTTTGATAGATGAATATATAAATATATAAATAATAATTTTATATATGATATAAATAAAAAATAAATAAAATAAATAATAAATTATATTGTAAACATTGTATTAAAAGAATCACATTTACCTGCATCCGAGTGCAACAACAAGGCTGTTAATCTAACTATTCCTGCTTCGATGAGTGCATCAAGTTCCTTTTGTATATCACGTACCATTCCAGAATCCGGGAACAGATCCACAAAACGATAACTGTAAAATATTAAATAAAAAGTATGAAGAGAAAGATAAAGTAAAAAAATATAATATATATTATTGTACCTCAGCCATAAGTAAAGATCTAACACATCAAAGATGCCTTCTAAATGAACAAGGTCAAGGATAGTCTTTGGTGTCGCAAAAGGCCATCCAATATGTTGACACAACCAACTAAATGTTATCGCATCGTTTTTACTATATTGACGTGCAAACTGGAAAAATTATATATATATGCTGTGAGTGCAAACATGCAAATATAATTTTACATATTGAAAATAGAGCATATTTTAAATTAGCATTAGAAAAAAAAGTCTTCTTATTAAAAGTATTACTATACTTTATTTTAACTTTAAGTATCGTTTTAAGTATTATTAATAAAAATATAATACTTACTTTCAGGAACATAGTGCACACATACGGCAGTTTTCTATTAATTGGTGCACAACAAAATACATATCTCGCACGGAGTGGCAGCGGAACATGCTGTATCATATCAGCTAAAAACTTAAAGTCATCTAAGTTGCACATAAAATAAAGAGAATCGTCAACTGTGCACAATGATACAAAAATATCCTGAAATGGATAAAGCATTTTATAAGTGGTATATAATTATTTATAATTAATCTCATTGTTGTTTTTGCAAGTACCATTAAATTCGACAATGGTGAATTTGGTAAGTGATAAGCATATAGCTCAATTTGATCCGCTGTTGGATGAAGACCTGCTTGTGTTATTACTTCTGGTGTTTGATTCAATAAATTCTTTAAAGTCGGTAGATCTTCTCGTTTAAAGGTCGTTACATAACCCTGTAATACAAAAGTGTATTTTAATATTTCTTTTATGTTATATATAAAGTTAATAGAGACAAACTGGATTATGCCTACTGTATCCCAAGCTGTACCATAACGTCCAGCGCGGCCTGCGATTTGTAAAGCTGCTGAAACAGATAGAATATCCATTTCCTTTTCACCTTTTTCATTGACTGTTGGCTGAATCAACGAATAAAATATAATTCTTCGAATATGCCTATAGAAATATACGAGTCATTTAAATGATTTCAATGATAGGAGCTTAAAATCACTTAGAACTTTAAAGTACAAAGCTTCATATATAGTTTTAGATTTAACATAACACAAATACATGAAACTCACAAATTCAAACCCATTCCAATCGCATTAGTTGCTACCAGGACTTTACACGAATTCTTAGGATCGTTAAATTTCGCGGCTTGAGCCAGTTTGGTACCTGGTGGCAAGCTGCCATATATTACTGCCACTTCTGTTCCTCTACTCTCAAGAGAACGCGATACAGTGAATATATCGTTTTTGCTAAAACAGACTATACAATCTCCCGGCTTAACATTGATCAAAGAACCAAGCGCCTCGTTTTCTATTTCCAAATTTGTTAGTCGCTTATATCTGTGAACTTCCACATTTTCACCCGCAGAAATACATATAGCTTTTACCTGCATACACATATAATTTGTGGTTAGTAAATATCTATTATTTCTATATGATTCTGTATAAGATTCTATGTAGCTATAGGATATAAGCATGTAAAAGGCATACCAAATCTATAGCAGCAGCTTCACCACATAAATGTATTTCATCTGCAGGAATTCCCAAAAGAGCTCTTGTCCATGCCCAGCCTCTACTAAGATCACGCATTAATTGAATTTCATCGATTACAGCTACTTCATCTACAATAAAACATAATTGTATCAATACTATTTTCTTGCATAAATGCTTTCAAAGTTGTGAGATACAGAGTAACACCTACAATTATTTTGTAGATTCACCATTTCTACAGAACAGGATAAATGATTTGCCGGATTATCAGCACCTTTAATACACTTTCGTTCCTCTCCAGTTAATAAATCACATGGTGTTCCCTGAAATAAAGTAGAAATTATTATTATGGTCCAATATATTAGTATGGCATATATATATACACATACATATATATATATATATATATGTGTGTGTGTTATATATGCATAAACAGTCATACTTTCACAGTGATTAGAGATAATTAGATTATACAGTTGATATCAACCCTTTCGTTACACTTATGATATACTTCTGCAACTAATAACTTCAGAGGAGCACAATACACTCCACTCTTTGCGGTGATAAATCTTTCTAAAGCATGATAAGTCTTCCCACTATTTGTTGGTCCAGCATGAAAAACTATTTTTCTATTTTTTGCTCTTGCTAAAGGATACCTGAAAACATTAATAACAAAATTCTAATTTATTAAGGATTTTTGCTCCCTTCCTTTTCATGTATAATATTATATATACATATATATTGAAATATAATAATAATATTAGTAACTAAATATATGTGAATTTGTAGTATCCTACCAGGAGGCAGGACTCCGTAGATCACTAATCTTTTTGAGATCATCTATACAATCAATATGTGGAAACATTTGTTTAGCATGTTGTAAAAAATATGGAAAAATGTCGGTGACATTTCCAGCATCTTGCAGAATATCACTCAATACTATATGAAGAGCCACAGGTAATGATTCTGTTGCCAAACAATATTGTCTAAAATTCGTAAATGCCTGTCCCTGGAGATAACCTAAAATCAACATCATACTTAAAATATCTATACTTAATTAATATATGTGTATACTATCGAAATATACACTCATTGACAATTACTAGAAAACATTTTTCTATGTAGAGAGCAATATGACTCTATTCTCTAGTATTTATCAACTAGTATATATATATATATTTTTTTTAAATACACACTATCTAATCCATGTTGTCGAGCCAGTTCCTTGATCTCTGTTTTTTGTGTAAAGGCATTCAATATTCTTAAAAGATCCGTTTTTTTTATTAAAGATCCAGTCAGTTCGGCACCAATGTTTATGTCATCTGGAGTTGGTTTGATCGGCACGGGATGAAAAAGAGATTCTGGTGAATGTGAACTATCTTTTTGTGAGTCTTTTTTTTGTAAGTCATCTTTTTGTGAGTCATCTTTTTTGCCTCTACATGGCTGAACATAATTTGTTCCGAGAGCTATGGATCTGTGTCACAAAAAATAAAATAAAATATGAATCAAAATAATAATATAACAAATGTCTATAAATATATATATATAAATATATTAATGTTACACCTGCGTGCGAATGTCATCGCCGATAAGACGCTTCTTCGCATTAACTGTTCCGACATACCACGCTTTATGAGCATCATCTTTCATTATAGACAATTTATTATCAAAACACAATAAGAAACGTGGAGCGCATATGCCTCCACGAAATCATTGAGGTTATGGACAATTATCGCTTGAACACGTGCGATCTTACCGATAGATCATGGCATGAAGTAAGAATATATAAGAATATATTCTTACATCATGGATCACGGTAGAGGCACTATAGAGGTGCGTTCGAATATCTTATCCGTGGATTGGAGTATCATTTAATTGACCAATCAGGACAAAAGGAGCAAAGATTTCTTTGTTCTAATTGGTCAACTAAACGCTATATATTTTATCCTAAATTGGTTAAAAAGCCAATACCGTTCGGAGGTCTCGAAGATGTCATTTCCCGATCAAAACCACGTATTAAAGAAAAATTATTATAAAATTAGTATTACTATTATTAATAGTATTACATAGGCTGCGTTCCGATATTTACTGCCAGTACTAAAAAATCTATAGTGCACGTGTCATAAATTATACATTTTCAGTACTGACAGTTAATATCGGAACGCAGCAATAATCAATTCCTTGACCAACTCTATTTTATCCTACGGATAAAATTTTCGAACACGCTCTATACTATCAAGAGAGAGAGAGAGAGAGAAACTTTGTACCTGGCTTTATGTATATTGTATAGGAAGTGCAGAAAGTTGCTGTAAAAACACGGATAGACACGACACATGATGTATTAAGAAAGTTGCGACCCCAGATGTGTTACATCATTAAATCTCTCTATGACGACCTTGAATTATCTTATCGTGCACAGAGAGAAAAAATGATTGCTGACTTCAATAAAATTATGAGGTATCCAAATATATAAGTCTCATGAGTTTAAAAAGGCTTTTCCTGCATTATCATCAAATGTAAGTTATTAAATTTGACATTTTTATATATGCAAAGAAAACAACATCTCAAATTGGATACAAGAATTAGGAAAGTAGAAAAGAAGAAAATAGAGGAATTGCGTATTCAACATCATGAACTTGAGATACAAAATGTAATGAATATTGTTTTTATTCTTTGCATGGAAAGATTACGCAATAGTTTACAAATGCATGCAATACATAAATATTGTGAGGTAAATATATATATATACATAAATCATATTTTTAATATATATGCATACTGTATAACTTATTTTTATATTTTGAAAGTTTATATATTGAATATATATTTATATATTGAAAGTATTGTAACATATTTTACATTTAAATATTTAAATACAGGAAAAGATAGAATCTTTGCATGAACTTATTGCTAAACAAGATGACGATATAAACATGATGAAGGAAAGGCTTACAGGATATCACAACAAGAATGTAATGCTTCAAGAAAAAGTTACTGCTATTACTAAGGAATTTCAAAAATTTATAAATTTTGCATTTGATGCCATGCCAGAGCATGCTGACTTTTTATTGCCATTAGATTTATTTTCTGTAGATAGCACAAATGAAGAAGACAATAAGCAAGAAAAAAGTTGATAGATAAATTAGATAGATAGAAAGATCTTGTAGAAAATTTTAATTGCAACAAGAATTTATATATCGAGAAAAAACAGATAAATTAATAGAATAAAAAGTTTAAATTTGGCTCTTACAAAAATACACTGACAATAAATGTTATAGAAGCAAGAGTATATTTTTTTGTATACATATTGTAATTACATCAAAACATATAACATGGAAGAATACAAAAAATGTAGTATCAAAATATTGATTTCTCTTTGATTATATTCTAGTAATATATGGTATAGAGACATTCATATAATTCTCTTTGTACAAAAATTTTAAATTAATAAGTTAATAATTAATATATCAACAATTCATTGAAATTTCTTGCATTCTTTATCTGACAACCGCGATGCCATCCTGGATCTCGCTGCAGATTAAATGTTTTGCGCTGATAGAATTGTGTCAACATAACAGATCTCAGGCCTATTTCACTAAGTGGAATAGAAGAGTAATCGTCAAGGCGCCATCCGTATATCCAATTCGCACAATCGGGGAAATAGAAACGTTTCTCTGGGGGTTCTTTATATCTAGAAAATTTTAAAAAAATTTTATAAATTAATAAATTAAGTCCTTTTCAAATAAAGGGATATTTGTGTAACACGTTTTGCACTACCTTTCAGTTAAATAATTATCAGTAGTGATAAAAGTTGGCATTCCTTTCTCATAAAGCATGTTTCTTATATCAGGATCTATCGGTTTCATGATATCTATATCGATAGAATCATCAGATTGAGGTGGCCTCCAAAGGGATAAGGGCTTGCGTATCTATGTATATATACAAAATTTAAAAGAGATGAGTATTATGAATCAGCTGATATTAAACTTTTTACGCACAATGGGTTTATCAACGCGAGTTTTCACTCGTTTTTTAGATCCCGCAATTATTTCTCTGGCTCGTTTTGTGAATTTCGGCTCTTTCAAATGACTAATCAATCGTTGTTGATTCTTTAAAAACCATTTCATTCGTATCGCATTTTCCTTTCTTATCATCTCATTATGAAATAATTGACAACGAGTGTCACATACATTGCCATAAATTTTCGCCATATTTCTCTTATACAATTTTTACACACTTTTTTATATAAGCACAAAAATAATCTAAATAGACATCAAAAAGTATTTTAATGAAAATAGCTCTGAAGTAAGATTTTGAAAAATTACTATCATCAAATGTTTTCTCTTTTCTTTCATACGCTCATAAGAAGATAAGGCGCAACAAATTAAATATAACAATACATTGCAATACTTTGTAGAATGGTTTATTTACATTGTTATTACGCGTTATAATACGTTTTATTGTGTTACATAAATTCAGTATGTACTTAATGTGTATATACTACATTATTTACGTGTAGGTGTATGTGTGTATTTCTTTATAATTATACCAGTGGGAGCATATATATTGAACTATGTACAACTCTTGTTTCTGAAAAGAACATAAATTTATGAGAAGAAAAATGTAAAGTCAATCAATTCAACATAGTGTAATAAATTTCAAAAACAAATTAAGAGAAACGCTGTATTATGTACAGTATTAGTATTCTATAATATACCTGAGAGATAAACATTTACTTGAAGTTTAAATAAAGACAATTTTGAGATAAATGTTTAATATAAAATTTAACAGATTATATAATGAAAATTATAAATAAAGGATTAAACATATCGAAAAATCCAATAATATATCCTACAATCTATGATGATTGTATACTTAAAGTAATATCCAAAATACGTGCATATGTATGTGCAATAGGTGTATCTACACATATGCATAGATCTTTCGAATGAAAAATTAGCTGCAAGGAAAAGGAATCAATTTTTGCAATTTTCCTATTAGTTATAATTTAAATAAACGATATTTTTATAAAGTTACTTTTAATTAGATGTTGCTCTTTTTTATATATATATTGTCATATATGAGAATACTATGCTCCAACATCCAAAAGATTTATCCAGTAACAATGCATGGTACATATATATATATATATATAAAATTGTAACAATAAATAAATGGCGTGAAATGAGTTTTACATGATATTACTCCCTCTTAAAGTCAACATCAAATGACTCAGTAATCACAGCCATAGGAAGCAATATTGTATGTGATATATATGTATAATGGTTTAGATACATAGTTTATTTTTATATTACAAAGTGACTAAGGAGCATTTATCATTTGTACTTGAGTAATCAAGAAGAATCGTGTACTTGTACAAATAATAGTTTCATTTCTTCTACACTGGTTTTTCTTTGTTTTTTTTAAGACTGTACATATATATATATATATATATATATATATATATAACACACGATGCATTTTAATAATTGTAACGCTGTACTTTATAGGGTGAACCTTTTCAAAAAATGAAGGATAGATTGCTAAAGAAATTAGGAGTACAGGAAAAAGAATTCGAAAAGGGTATATATATATATGTATGTAATATTATATAGTTTTATCTACAATTTTCTATAAAATAATTACTTTACATCGCATGTGATTCCTCTAAGCTTTAGGGTAACCAATCATGTCCTATATTAATTTAATTCGCTCCAATCCATATTTGTATCTACAGTCTAAATATAAAGTTACGTCGCATTTTTGATATCAAATCAAGATTTCATTAGTCTCAATAATTTTTGAATGTTGAGTATCAAATGATTTTGAATTGTTAATAATTTTAATTATGAATTGTCTAATTTTGTGTATTTATATTTGCGAAATTAAAATCCTGCATTAATTGTAATTATGCGCACTTAATTATGCTCTAAAGTATAATTTATTATCGACAGAATTCTCGTATGCATCCCACTGTTTTCTTAACTTACTTAATGGTACAATATTGGAAAATGGACTGCAATCTAATTGCGCTATTCTATTTTCACTGTTCAAGTGAAGTATATCTTTTCTTGTTTTTTAAAAAAACATCCGATTTCTATACTGCAGAATGCTACAAAGTGTGATGTAACACTTTCTGTATCATTGTGCCTTCAGTGGTACTTTTTGTATTTATTAACATACAAGCATAGATCCATTTTTATATTATAAGCTTGCTCGGCGTTTTTAGAAGTATTACTCAACTGTATAACTCAACAGATTGAAAAAATTATTAACAAGGTATTCAAATTTATTTGAATGAGCTAAATATGAACAAATTAGATTATAAATAGCGCGTATAAGTTTGTTTATAAATTAATAGACAAATTCTAATAGAAGACAAATAATACACAGAGTTTTACTTTTAAAAATTGATATATATCAAATTAACATTTTGCTGAATATCATTGATACTCCATGTGAACAGTATAACCGGTAATAACATTTTATTTCCATTAGATACACATAGGATAGCAGCCAGTATTTTATCGGGATCAATTAATGATTATTTCATGATTCCAAATTTAATAACTAATGAACAAAGCTGTTTTATATAATTATTGTGTAAAGTAATAGAGCGGTATTTTCATACTGATTCCACCATATATAAGAAAAAAAAGATATGTTATAAGCATAAGATATGATAATATAAAAGATAATGAAATAATATTTTTCTATTTTGCATTTGAGTTCTGTTTTTTAAAATTAATTGTTCTCGTTCGATACTTAAAGGAATCAAGAAATAAAATAAAAAGGTTTATTACGCCGTTACACGAAGCGATCATTTTGTGCAATCATTCAACAAGTTTATTGGCATATATTAACTTAATATATACATATTCGATGCTTTTGCGTAATATTGTCTTTTTTTAGCATCATATTTTTTTTCTTTGCGACTTTTATAAAAATGCTGCTGTAATAATATAGGAATCAATAAAATATCAATCAACGAAATATCTTTATCAAGTATCTTTGTTATTCATTGTTGCCGAACTCTCATAAAGAAAAGAAGAGATTTCTATCATCAACTTTTTCGGGTAATGAAACAGCTCTCTCTCTCTTAATCGATCAATAATGTGATTTCTCTTATATACCTAACTCGTAGTCACTTTAAGTAATACAGGTGATGTAGCGTGGTTGTTAAAGTACAGACCTGTTCCTTGAAAGCTGTTAGATCTCGATGTCGGATTTTGATTAATTCCAGTCGTACCACTATCGGCGTCGGAGTCAGCGTACTCGTCATCTTGCTTGCCACGTAACACGTATTTAAATGATTCGTATCTGCCGCGCAAATTAAAAATTTATATTATGCGATGCAATGATGAAAAAAAATTGATGAAAGTTATACAATCTCAAAAAGAAAAATAAAGCGCAAAGAAATTAATTGACTTACATCACCCAACAAATGGCAGTAGCTGGTGCTTGGAATAAAACACGTGCGCGTAATCCACGGAAGTATCCCTGTATACCGCCATGCCTGTAGACTTGTCTAAATGCATCCATCAAACCCTGAGCCTGCACGCCGTCTTGCTGAGTGTTCAACACCGTTTTGCAAACGTCTAGAGGAGTTGTCGCCGCAGCCGCGATCCCACCTGCTGCCGCACCTGGTTATACACATATATAAAATAATATTAACGATAACAATAGAGTTGAGAGTTAATATTATAAATAGTTGATAGACTCACCAGATCCGATATGTGCTATTGGATTGTAAACATGCTCTGGGTTTGTAATGGATTGTACAAATTCATACGAAATGAAATGAATACTTTGAAAAGGCACATTCATAGCCAATTGAGTCGTGTAACTTCTGTAGAATGCAAATATTCCTTCTTTCTGGTATATATGTTGTATACAATTTAATACATTTCTATAGGGAGAATTATACATCTGCAATCGCTGTTTCACAACTGTAACAAGATAATATATATATATTAATCTGTTACATAAATTATCTATACCTATATTATCTTTTGAGAAATTAATTTCTTTAAAAAATTAATCTTTTTAGGCTATTAAATATATATTTAAACGTAAGATTTTTTTTAAACATGGTATATATAGTATATGTATGAAAAAAAAAAAATGTGGATAGTATTTAACTTACAATGATTAGATAAGAATCTTTATATCTCTTTATGGATTAAGTGATAATATTAATTGAAACATCTAGATTGTAAAATTATCTTTTTATTTATAATAATATCATATATTATCACTCAGGTTAAAAAAAAATATATTATTATCAAATCAGCTTATAATATATCATAATAACTAACCTTCTGCCGGATTCATGACACCATCATGTAAAATTGTTGCTACACAACCAGCCGCTCCATAGACAAGATGATTAAATTGGGACCTCGTACTCTTGAATTTTTCTTTAAGACACTCGTAACAAGAAAAGTATAAAGCATGCGCGGGTCCAGCTCCGGCGACCACTGCACTTACACCTCTAATTGGCCTTAATACACCTTCTTGTTGTATCATTCTATACAATACTTCCCCCACTCCTCCTCCTCCTCCTGGGCCAGGAATTAACGCTTGCATTCTTGTCTAGGCACATAAAAGGAAAAGATTATCATATCAATTGTGAAATTAATAATATGACTAAGTTTATTCTATACATCTAAAATCTTGGTATTGCAATATTTTTCACAATGCTATTTTATAAAATTATTATTGCCAAGGCACTTTAAAAGTAGAATGACTTGCTGATTGAGTAAGGACAGTGACTATCAACTGGTTTATTGTAAAAAAAAAAAGCATGTAGTATAATAATCACTCTTTATCTATGACAATAAATGCAGAAGGTTATCAATTAGGACGATAGCTACATGTGGAAAAGTAGAATCAAACATTCTAAAGAAATTTAAATGCTTGAAAATATTTATAATTCTCCAATATACTATTTTCAATCCAATATCAACTTGTTTTGCATTACAACATTATAGCAAAATGACAGCATCTCTATGTCATTAGATAATTCCATTTGCATAATCAAGGTTTGGCATATTATTTAGGCAGGCAAGCATATATTGATAGTATAAATAGTAGTTTGAAAAGGAGACCAGAAATAGAACCCACTGCAATAAGACCGACGAACCGTGTTATATAATGAATAGTAGACACTTGCATTCTGAGTAAGAACCTGATATAATACATTATTTGCAACATGCAACTCATCTCTTCATGTTATTACCTCTACCAACTGGTGCTGAGTACTTGAGACTATTGTCTCAATCATCATGTTTTCCATGTACGATAACATTTTACACTATTATAGTATCAACAAAGCCAGGTAATGTCTAATGTATAAATATGAAATGATTCAACAAATATTCAATTCACAATGGTTCTAACAGCTATAATCCTTTACAAACAATAAAGTAGAATCAATTCTTGTCAATGCATTACTTGTTTGAATTTTCAGAATGAAATTAACAACTTGTCAAATATATCAAAAAATACATATTAAAGACATTATAAAAACATATTGTAAAAACAGAATAAATCTCTACATTATATATTTTTGTGTCTAATAAAAAATATATAAAGATATGATAAAATATTTTTTTTTTTTTTTTTACTTCTTAAGTATGTGACACAAAAACAAGAATGAAATAAACTCAATCAATATGTTAATAGAATGTATACTAATGATATGGCATGGCATTACGTCTATTGTGTGTCATTTAATTCTAGGTTGTAAAAACGAAAGTAAAACAAGGATCTTCTTCTTTTGTATTAAATACAAATCCTAGATTATGTCAAATGTCATTGACATTATGTACAATTTATAATATAATGATGTATATTGTATATTAGATATTGCGTATGAGACAATATAACTATAAATATTCATATTAACCAGAAATATGTAAACAGGAAAGATATATATAATAAATCTTAATCTCTGACCTGTGTCATTCTGTAAAAGAACTTGTTCGCTCAAAATGCAAAAATGCCCGTGACATATCTCACGACGATGGGATTACTATTATTGTAATTTCTATAATAATAACAAGTCTTCCTATCTAGCGCACGTTTATTTGCGTTAGATAAGTCGCGTTGATAAAGCATCCGGCGCCAAGTGGATGCCAATTCCAGGAAAGCATGTAGGAAAACGTGATGATAGAGCAGATGGTGGTTTTTCCAGGTAAAACGTATCGCGGGATCCACACGATGTCGAGTCGTGCGAACACGCGGAGTTTCCGCGATGACGTTCGAGCGATCGAGCGTCGCGACGGACACGGCCACCGGGTGGCGTCGAGGTTATGTAAAGGGGGAGAAAAAAAAACGTGCGCGCGGTGTGATCGCCGCCGACATGTACCTTCACGCTGTCAAACGGATACATGACGCAATGCTCCATGATCCCGGCCAGGGCACCGGCCGTCATGTGCACGACCACGGAATTGGTCGGTAGGCTCTCGTACTCGTCTTTATCCATGATCGCGAGGAAGGAGAGCTACTCGCTCGTAAGCGCGCTCCGATCCGCCGTCACGACGTCGCGCGATACTTTCTTCTCGCGTTCCTTTCTTTCTCCCTCTCTCTCTTCCTTTTTCTACCTCGCACCACTGTCCGCCAACACGTTGCGTTGCCGATACGACGTACGATACTAGGATATCGTCCGTCACGAAGACACTGATCTGATGTTCGCGTTAACGAACCGTACGGAATGGAATACGCGCACGTTACGCGCGCGCCGACATGTGATCGCGTGCGTCGATCGTTTCTTAATGGGGCTGCACCGAACCAGAGTATAGAGTAAGTAGGCTCGGTGGTCACCCGTCTCTCCCCTACTGCCACCGCGACAGAGCGGATTTCCTTTCTTCTGCCGCTTCGTTCGTTCGCCGAATTTACTTTGTTACGAAAATTACGCGTACGCGATATATCCGCGTTCAATCGGTCGCAATTACACCCGATATTTGACGTAGCGATCTCGAGGATATGACGTTCGCGGATCAGTCGCGAAGAATGACGGTACATTCATAGTTAGCGAGGTTAGACTCGGATGCACGTGCCGCGCATGCGTCGTACGCGACCACGTGGTTCGTGCGTGCGTCTCCGCGAGACAAAAACGCTTTAAAATACGTTCGACGGATGTTTAAGTGCACGGAA